ATAATATGGATTCTACCGGGTTGTTAAAGCTCAAATTAAAACATTCCAGTTTAAATGTCTTTAAAATGCATTCTGAAACACAAGTTATCAATTATTTTGATGTAAATAGTGATAATAAATTAATATTTCCTAAGTATTGGCAACTTCCACCATTAAAAAGGGGGCGTGGCCAACCCCATGGCGAAATTAGGTTGAGCGAGCTGCATGACCTGCTGCGAACGCGTAGAAACATGGCGTCTCTCGTAAGACACTTATCGCTGTGAAAATTGACATACGTGTAGATCAATAGATTCCCCAGATGCAAAAAAAATTTGGTAGTGACAAATCTTTTCCTTCGAATTAATTTTAATGATGAAAGTTGCCTTATATTTACTAAGGATTTTCTCAAAGCTGACTGATGGTAAATGAAAAAAGTAATTGATTAAAATGTAGGCCAAGATGTCTACCTAATTATAAGGCCGAAAACGGAACTGAAATATATATCGAAAGCACTAATTTAATAATAAATAGACACACACATCGGAAAATTAAAAACTCGGATTTTTTGGCGCCGATTGCGAATTCCCATACACAAAAGTAGTAGTCTACCTTGACTTACCGAAGTATCTACCAATAGTACCAAAATCCGGAATCCGGGAGAAACCGGAATCCAGATTATTCCGGAATCCGGATCCGGCGGATTGCGCAAAGAAGATCCGGATCCGGCACACCCCTATTAGCTGGTGTCATTAACCGATTACAATACGTGTAATCTATGAAATCTCGCTACTCTCAATGTATTTGAATAGTTAAGTTAAGGCTAATCTTCTTAGAAGTTTACATAATTTGATTATAAATATCGCAATGTTTGGAAAATTTGCTGATTATGAGCCGAAGTATTACTTCCCGTTCGCATTTATCTGTTGTTTTTTTTTTGTTTTTTTTTTTCAAACTCACAAGTTTAAGACTTTAATAACACTGTATTAAACTACATTTGCTTCAAATATAGAGTTCACACTAAGTATCAAACGTGAGCAATCTTTTCATGTTTTCAAATTATATTTTATAATAAACGCATTACTTTTAATTTGAGGAATTGTGTTAATTACAAATTGAATGATGGCATCATGCTTTCAAAAATATGGTTATTGTTATTGTGTTCCTTTCAGCTATCTTTCCGGGAGGGCACATCCCCCAGCGCAATGTGTACAACAAGATAACAAATATGTATATATTTTATATTAAAAATGACAATTGCAGAGTAACTAGTGCCCTTAACCGATTACAATTAGTGGACTCTATGAAACATCACTAGGCTCGATATATTTAATGATCCGTATATTTAAGTTAAGGCTAATCAAGATATAGTATTCGGTTATAAAAATCGCACTGACCGCTCCAGTCTTACTTCCTGCTGTTCGAATATATCATTATTTTTATTTATTTATTTATTGCAACTTCACAAGTTTAAAGAGTTTAATGACACTATATTAAAATACATTTACATACCTATAAAGTTATTCAATTTTAATAATAGTTAGTCAAGTATTAAACATGTGCAATCTGTTTTCAAATAATAGTTCATCGTAAAAGAATGATTATGATTATGACAAAAAATTAGGCATCAATTCAGAATCATATGCTTTTTTTCTAACTTAGATTAAGAGCGCAAAGAAAATAATAGGGCACGTTTCATGAATTATAATTGAATCAAAAGGTTTTTTTTCCCCTTAAAATGTGCTATCTTTGTTACAAGTTTCCTGAATAACAGATTTGTTTTGTTGTTTTTTTTGTGTGTGTTTTTTAAATACTTTGCCGTCAGTATGCTATGTGATCCACATAGGCTGCGGCCCACATAGTTAAAATTAAAATGGGAGATCATTCCACTTTAAATTCCAGTGATGTCAATAATGCTAATATTGATACTAGCAATAGTGGTAGACTACCAGGTAGTTTCAGTTTGAGTGAACCTAGACACTGTGGATGTAAAGGAATTAGGACATGCCGCCTGTGTGGATACTCCAAGTCAAAGCAAAATATCATTCAAACACCACTTTATGGACTTGACTGCCAGGATAATAAAGAAAAGGTTTGCAGAGGCGTAACTATAATATATTAATAATGTTAAATTTACTGATATAAATAGTGCATAGTTAGGTAATCTTCAATTACAATTTATCTATAATTGTTAACATTATTAAACGTAGGTTAAAAATGGGGACGCCTGCCACTTTTTAATCCAATTTCACGAATGTATCCCTAAATCGATTCCTATGCCTAACCTGAACCCTAAATCGATCCCTAAGCCTAAACCTAACCTGCCTAAACCCTAATTCACTGCAACTATAATAAAGACACAAAAGATGCCGTGGCAACCGTCCTTGGTTTTAGCCTAAACTTATTTTTTTTAATACAGCATTAGTTCTGAAAATAAAATTATCATTAAAACAAGAGTTATATAGCTCGTGGTGCCAAAAGCAGAATTGGGTACCAGAAAATGGAGATGATGTGGTCCATGTTAAAAAAGGACGAATTAAGTTGTACTTTAAAAATTCATAACTTTAAAACTACAACAGCTAAAAATATGATTTTGATGTTATAATTCTTTTTAAAAATTAGCTTTATTCAGGTATGCCATTGGTTTATTTTTACAAAAAGTTTTAATTTTCTAATCAAAGTGCCTACTTAAGGCGGCGTCTTTTTTTTAACTTAAGGCTTAGATCTAACTTACTACTTAAGACTTAAGGCAATGAAATTTAAGCGCGATTAATTATTTCTAGTGATATAAAATTAAAACTTCCTCTTTACCTGATGGAACTAAAGGCCTAAAATAGCGTCTTTTTGTTCATGTACTATAGCCATTTAACAAAATTGAACAAGATAAAAAATAAAAAAAAAGTAGCCTACATTTCATGAATCTTTTGTCATAAATGACGCCATTGTGGGAAAACAATGGGAACTCTTCTGTCTTCAAAGATACGTTATAAAAGTTGCCTAATTGGATATATTTAGATTTAAATAATTTTTTAAATTTTTTTTTAGATCTATCTACTTTGTCTGATATTTCTTTCTAGCCCATTGGATCCATGCACAGCCATGTAAAGATGGTACTCGCAAGGGCCCTCAATATCAGGGGGCGCATTCGCCCAGGGCGCTGCTTTTCCTTTGCACGGTTGTGCATCCATTATGGACGTAACGGGGCTAGAATTTTGAAGGTGGGGGTAATGTGGGAAATGTTTGTTAAAACTTTAAATACAATTGTCAATTTTCTTTCTTAAAATTTGTGACAGCTTCGATTTCTTTCTCAATAAATAGCTGGTGATTTACTAAGACTAAGAGGCAAAAAGTGGGGAAGTAATGAAATATGTCAGTAGCGAAATAAACACCATTGCAAACAGATGACTAACAAAGCAACTTGGCTCCATCCAGATACATAAACACTAACACTGCCTCTCATTTTACTCACCACAAACTAGACTCAACTTAGGTGGCATCTAAATAATTAATCTATCAAATTAGAGCTGACCAAACACAGACCATTTAAATAGCTTATTTGCCTACTATGACTCACAATTGTCGAGAAAAGGTCAATCCATTTGCCTTGGAAGGGGGGGCTGGGGGGGGGGGTGGGGGTCCACACAGGTGCCTTTTTTTTTTTTTTTTTTTTTATAATGGGGGGGGTTTTTTTCGGCGGGCTGAAAAGTTTTTTTTTTTTTTAAATTTAGTGGTAGTGGGTGGCACAACTCTCTAGTTAACATATCGCAACATAATCCCTGGTCCGCTCGTAACGTTTCCCCGATCTGCTCATTATAAGGACACGTGACACATCAACCAACGCTTGGACATTGGTCGCTCTCTGTTGTTCAATGTTGGTGGAAATCTATTACGTAGCCGAGTCTCTCACTTTGCACCTTTTTTTTGCCCATGCGCCTTTTCCCTTGTCTGGTCTGCTGATTACCAAAGTCATTCTCTGATACACTAAAGTAATACGTCGGCATAGCTAGAGCGACATAGCCTTCACAGCTTTGCCATGTTTCTGTTTAGTAAGGCTGTGGGCAGCAACGCAGTCGCCGCGGCTAGCCCGTGTATAGGTTTACTTTAAGCAGATTTCTGATCGTTAATGCTGGATAAACTTTTTGGTATGTGTCGGCTGCGGTGGCCGCGCAAATGAACGCAGGACAAGTAAACCCACAACTCACCATAACACATCCAAACACAGGACTAGTGAACCGACGGACAAGTTAACACGCAGAAAAGTGAATACCGGCATATAGAATATAGACAGCTGAACCCAACAACTGGGTTTGAAAAGGCCTTGCTGTGATAATCGTCATTCTTGACTTCTTGTTGTAAATTTATTTTCACTGCTAATTCGCAATGATTGGTTCCGAAAGATTTCAGCTACTTTTATAAATATGTAAATGATTTTAATGTGCTGAAAATTATTTTACAAAATTGTGTAAATAACCATTTTTATTATATTTCTTGGGCAGATTTTTGTTTCCTAAACTGAGTCTATTGATTTCTTATTAAAGAACATTAACATGTTCTACAAAAGTGTTTAACATTTGTAAAAATATCTAAAAAATTCTTATCTTTTATGATAATTTCACATTGATAGTGTTATATAGAGCTTGTTTACATAATTTTTCTCGTGCGTGCACTCTGATTGACACCGCATGAGACGCTGTGCTCACAGATGGGTGTGGCCTAGTCGTTTGATCTGTCGTGTTGATGCCGACAGCCACTAAAAATAATTAATCTGTTCCAAATAGTATTTTGTAGAATGACTGTGATTGTTCTAGAAATGCTATGTAGCTTCTCGAAGGCAGGTCTTAGACGTCGGTAGACCCACCTACATAAAGGATTGACAGGCTCGGAAAAAGGACGGAGATTCAGATAGAAATTATTAACTTTACGTGACGTGTATTATCCCTTGTGTATTTGTGTGCACATACTTATATGTGTTTATTTCGCATTCATCATTATTCATTGGCACATTATTCTAACTTTATTAACTGTGTACGGTACAAGATCTACCATACTGTAAGTTGAAGATTGTCATTATATTTTATTTTGTAATTATATTAAGACTTAATAAATCTTATTAATTGAAACAAGAAACTGCTTTGGGTGTCGTATCTTTAATATTGTTGACTCTATGGTATCGTCCTTTGTTAGGCACTGTTTACAACGAACCAATTAAAAATTTTAAAAAGAAGATTAATTTCTCCCAATACAAGTCAGTGCGTAACAATATGCTTTAAATTTCATTTTATTTGACTCCTATATATCTAATATTGCTTAATTGATTTTTTTTTCTTTTTAAAGTCGTCCACTTAGGATTTTCCATTTATCTCTGACGTCAAATGTATTATGAGGAAAAGTATTATTTTAAACAAATATCTCAAAGTCAAATTTTTTTATTTATATGTTTTTTTTATTAGGTGTTAATTTTTTTTATATCTTTTCTGTCTTAGTTTTCTAATTGTTTTTAATTCATGAATGGTATATGTACATGGTGTATGCATCCTATATCCTTCATCCAGCCCCCTAATTTAAAAAAAACTCAATTTTATACTTTTTTTTTCATTTTTCTCAATTTTGCATTTTCCGGATTTTTTAGGAATGCCAAATGAATTGGGAGGAAAAGTATTTTAGCTACAACCTTCAAACATTGCATGCTTCTTTTCATTGATATTCTTTACACAATTCAAGAGGCTTTTTTTTTTATATACCGGGTATATCCAACTAGAAAAGTTTTATAACATTTTTACATTAGCTACTCCTGAAGAGTTCTCGAATATTTATGTGACCCCCACACACATGCCATTTGTAACACTTCCAATAACTGCTGTGTAATAAGCTTCTTTAAACTTTATGTCAATGTTGTTCTTTATGTGCATGCCAAGTTTCATTTACAATACAGTACAATAAGTTACAATACAATGCAATACAAATTTGTCTTTATTGATTTTGCGTAAAAGTCAAAATTGGTATAAAATGTTTAATTTTTTTGCAATAAAAGTCACAACAAATTTTTAAAAAATAAACTTTAGTGGATTTTTGTCTTTCTGTTTGTGTATGGTTTGTATGTACTATATTTTTTCAATGGCTCTATTCATTTAGGGTTATCAGTATTTTATTTTCAATGTGGCATGACTTAGTTGACTTGAAACCAAACTCCCTTCACAGATCACATATATTTGCTCCCACTCAATCATTACATCTGTACTTAAATGAAGAAATGATTCAAACAATAGTTAACTGTACGGGTACCAACAAGGAATGTGAGAAAGTAAAAGGAGACAAATGGCAAAGGAATGATGGGACCTAATTGAATGAGTTTATTGGCTGCCTACTTCTTACTGGCCCCTAATTTATTTTATGGATTACTTGAGTACACAACTCAAATAACTAACAACCAAATAAAAATGTTCTCAAGTCAGTTAAGGTTTAGTTTTTCTATTAAATTTTAAATTATGTACCAGTGTGTTAGACCCAGTAGACAGCTATGGTAAAAAAAAAAAGACGAGTCCTCCAAAAATAAGTCTCTTTCTCATGCTTTATACAATGGCATCCTTTAACTTTAAGATGTTCATTGCAACTACCTTGTGAATTAGGTCAAGTCAAATGAGAAAAGTTGTTGAAAGGAGATTCGAGATATCAGGAAAAACAGTCAATGTCCGCATATATTTCTCCCAGTGCCAAGGAAAAAGTTTAAAATTGGTGGTTTTGTTCTGACTAAGCCAAGCTCTCTAGAGGAATAGTTGAAATTAATTAATTATGAAAGAAATTTTCATTATTTAGAATACCTAATTAATTCATAAAGTACTGTGTAATTAAATCTTTTAACTTAAACAATACACATAAATTAAATAAAGGATTTAATTTTAATAATTAAATTTATATTATTACTTTTCTAAAATTCAAATGAAAATAATAAATGTATCTAAATCATCTTCATTACTAGATTTTTGTAAAAAAAAATAATCTACGAAAATGGCTTAAACTGAAAAAGAAAATAATAAAGAAAAAAAATCTACCCGTCCTAAGAAAAATCAACAAAGCAAAAATTAAAAAAAAACAACTAAAAATAATAAAACTATGAATCTATGAAATAACAAGAAGAAAAAACAATTTAAAAAAAAATTATTCTCATACTATTATTGTTATCACACCCGGCTCCGAAGCCATTTAATCTGTACGGGGCCACTCCGAGTGCGAATAGTCTTTGGCGACTATAGGTACCCGGGTACCAGCCTGAAAAAAACATGTATCAGCAAAAGATATATTGAAATGAATGAGGATTTCACTGTATTATGCTTTTATTGGTTTTATAATTTTAAAAAATCTGAGCCTCAAAGTCGTTCAATCTGTACGTCTTCCTCGTTTGTGGTCACTCCATAGGTCTCCTTGTAAGGTTGGTTGTCGGAATATCCAGAGTCAGATGAAGTGAGCTCCACCTCACCTAGTGAGTCAAGTAGTTTTTTGTTGTGGGTTTCTGGCAGGGGAAACAACAATAGGCCACCCAAAAGAGACATGAACCCAAATATGATGATGGCATCAACATTCCACAAGGATTTTGTCTGAAATTTGTTTGTAAAATGAAAGTGGATATAATTTTTACTTATTTATATGCCAGACAGAGATTCAATTTTAATATATTATTTTGTTTCTTTGCCATTAAAAAAAAAATAATTTTTAAGTAGTATGCCTAGCCTTAAGATACTCAGATTTAGCACTAAAGAAACTAAAAGAGAACACATGTTTAGAATTGTATTTCACTTACCCATTGGTTAATCTGTGGGGCAAGCACACCCCCACCTCGAGCCCAAAAGCAACAAGCACCCATACCAATATTTCTGAACATTAAAGGGATTAAAACAATATATTTTAAAAATTAATTATGATTAGAAAGTTTACAAATTCAAATGTTTTGGCAAATGCCTTCATTATTACAACAAAAAGCATTCATATAATTACAAATTAAATTTACGTAATATATTATGTATCCTACTTATACCTTAAAATAAAATAAAAGAATATACATGGGAAAATTTCTGAAGTATGTTTTTGTTAATTTAAGCAACTCGTTTCTGTAAGAAATTTTTTTTTTTTTAAATTATGTGGTATAGTGATTTAAACACATCCAAAAAAAAAATCTTTCAAATAATGGACGCATTAAGGGAGCAATATAAATATGTCTAGTGTTTTAAATATTTCAAGATAAATCTCCTGATGTTTGAAAGCAGCACTACCAATGTATACTCTAAGAGGGAATACCTTTCTAATATTAAATACACAGTTTAAAATGTTTTAAAACAAAAGTAAAATTTAATTCTCTGCACACCTTATAACAGTTGGGTAAATCTCTGAAGTATAAACAAATATGATAGCAAACAAGCAGGCCACAGCACATCTCCCTGTTATCGCCAGTGCTGTTGTCAAATCATTTAGACCTAAAACAAGAGGTAAACTTTTGATAATTATAATTACTTAAAATCAAATCTAGGCCTAGGATATTAAATGATTTTGCTTTATTTGAACTTTCATTTCTAATCCTCACATTCAGCACAATCTTATATTTTAATTTACACCCCGCCCCCCCACTATATTTACAAATTTGTAAAATTCTTGATACTTTGTCTTGTCTAGATCATTTATTTAAGTTTCAATGCGTAGATTGTAAATAAAGTTTAGTTAAGAAACTAAATATCTCAACAATTTATCAAAAGTAGAAGGAAAAAAATGTATAATGTAATTAATCAACATAAAAAGAAATGTTTTGCATTCTTCATTTAGGTCCCATTAAACAAGAAACAAACTATCTGAATGATTTATTTACTCAAACCATGGCTTATCAATGAAAACTTTTAAAAAATTTTTTGGGCACCCCCAGATGTACTGCTATACTGCAGTAATTCTTGAAAGTAACACATGCAGGTCTCTTGATCTTGCTGCTCTCTCATTATGCCACTGATCTTCCTGGCTATAACCAGACACAAAGCGAGACATCATCAGCCACCCACACAGGTTTGGTAACCAGACGGTAAAAGATACTACACTTTGATCTAGCCAAAAGGCAGAGAAACGTTCAGATATTATTCAAGTTAAAATGCTGCATGGAAAATTATATTATAAGTTACTTATAGTTTATAAGGTTCTCACAAGACCTATCAACAACATTTCAGTTCACAAATTTGGCCACATCTATGGTTTAGTCCTGTTATCAATAGAAGGAATTCATAATTAATTGCTAACCTGTAGTGTAATCACTGATAAATCCTGCAGCACAGCAAGTGACAGCAGCAATAAGGGAACAAACCAAGAGTGGCTTTTTACGACCAAATCTAAAACATTAGTTATAAAGTTACTAAACTCTAAACAAACACATTTTATAAAATGAAAATACAAGTTTCTTATCTGATCAAGTCCTTCAAGCATCAAGACTCTAAACCTATTAAAAACATCTATCAATTTTTCAACTATTTTCAACATTTTCATAAAAATTGGAAGCATTAAATTGTACACACTTTTAAAAAAAAACAACAGATATTATAAAATGATTAACATTTGTCAGCAGAAAAAAAAATAAAAGGAACAAAATGTGAAACAATGAAAATTATCTAACTTTCTCATAATAGGCAAGCTAAGCGCATAGGCTATGGTCTCAACTGCTCCTCCAATAAAAAAGTTAAGATAACGATTTCCTTGAAAACTTGACATCTTGAATGTAAGACCATAATAACAGGTTGATATGGAAAGCCTGTGAATAGAAGTGGGTCTAAAAGTGTTGGGACTGTAAATAAGGCAGATGGAAAGTTCCATAACAGACAATATTTTGCAGTCCACATAACTGTATAAATCAAGAAAATAGTAATTCTTTTCAGAATTGATCATTTTAGAAAGGCAGATAACTGTTGTTAAACTCGTATTACTTATTGGATGACAAAATTAATATTTTAATTTTTAAAAGTTCTTTGATTTTGAAATGATAATTCAATGATATCTAGTAGGTTATTGTAGCAACTGTACAGAATATAAATAATCATTTGCCATATTTAAATATAAAGTATTTTTCTTTTTAAATTTTCAAATTATACAATGATTTACCATATATAAAAAAGTATCAAAGATCTTTTTCTCATCTCTCCAGTACGAAACATGTCAGTCAAGTTGTAACCTTTAGTTTTATTAGACACTTCTATCTTGCCAGTTCCACCATTTATTTCACCCCAACATTGTGTAGGAAATGGAACCTAGAGAAAAAAAAAAGAACAAAATTTCAAGCTGTCATGTAAGCTCTTATGTATCAATGTGATCTTATAATTTGTATCATGATTAAAGCTTTGTTGAACCCCTCGAATTAAATTTAGCAATATTTTAATATTTACTTATATTACGGTTGATATTCACTTGAGGGGAATTTAGAGCAGTAGTAGGCATTTTTCCCCATGCATTACTTATTAATTTACACGTAATCTAACATGGAAAAAACAAATTCTGCAAGTTAATATTGTTTTACAATTTCAAAATAAAATTAATTGAAATTTTATCTTTGGAAAATTCATAAAAAGACAACTGAAATGTATGCATAGAATCTGGTCTTGTTTTCTCATTTGATATGTTAATACTGCTCTTCAAAATACCTTGTTAATTTTACAAATTCTTTTTGCAACAATTTCAGCTTTGTCCAGCTTTCCCTTCATGATCAGCCAGCGCAATGATTCTGGAACAAACCTTTAGACACCAAAAAAAAAAAAAACTTTTGTTTCCATTTTAACCTGTCAAGTTTTTAGACTCTTCATTGCAGGACCAGGTTAACACTCCCTTTTTAAATATTATTTTTTGTCGTCTGCCACTTGGCCACTTACTGTGCTGCAGGATTTTTGTCAGTTTTGCATTTCATTTTATAAATTTAATATTCCCACTGCTATGCCATTGGCTTCTAGTTTTGGTTTTTTATTTGTTTTTTTGTTTTTTTGTTTATTGAAAATGAAGTTTTAAAATTATTATATTTTTAAAACAATGTTATGGCCTAAAATTTATATTTCTTGGTATCACAGAATTTATTAACTTTGAAAAATGTGCAATTATAATAAATATCATATATAAGTTATAAACCAAAAAATTCCACGTCCCACGTTGTTAAAACATTAAAGTAATGCCCGAGTTCTTACCAAGGGTAGAAAACAGCTAAAACTCCAAATAAGCTGATCAGTATCTGGAGGTGTCGCCAGTCCCTCAGGGCAAAAGCTAAACCTGCAAGTAGCATAATGCTGGAGCCAAAGAAACACTCAGTTACTGCCCCTGCGAACGGACGATGTTTCGCCACGTAGAGCTCCATGATCAAGGTGTATGCTGATATCTGCAGACCCTGGTAAGGAAATGGACAAAACAAGAATAACGGCCCATGTAGATTTTAGAGAATTACTCTCTAAGTTTTCATAACATCACCCACAGATATGAAAAAGAATGATTTATTTTTAAGTGATTGGAAATGCAAAAATACCATTTAGTCCATTTTATCCGTTCCCACCCTCCAATTTGAAGACATTATCATTAAGGTTTTTTCTAGCTTTATTATTTTTTTTTTTTCGTTAATAAAAATATTTTTAAAATTTATTTAAAATCATAAATAGGTTAAGTATTGATAAAGTGTTTTAGGGTGACTGATACCTGCATTAGTATCCCATCAATGAACCGGAGAACAACGAACATGACGTAATTGACGGAGAACGCTATGACGATGCCAAGGACGGTGGAGGCGTACAACGTAAACAGCATGGTTGGCAGACGACCGAAGCGGTCAGCCAGATCCCCGAAGACGAGCCCGCCAAGCATGACGCCAGAGAAGTATATGGTTGTTGCCAGATTGGCGAGATATTCATCTGAACACACCAGATCGTACTGAAAAAATTTGGAAGCAGTTTGTTAATCAAATAATTACTCTCGGTCAATCCTGAAACGGGGACTTTGAATTCACATGTATGCGTTCAATTTATGGGTTTTTCATTCTAAAAAACAAAGACGATCAACTATCATTGTTTAGCACATTATGATCAGCTAGCATTGTTTGGAACTGCGGTTATCAACCCCGTGGGTCGCGACCCATTTGAGGGAGGCACGGCCCTTCCACAGGGGCCACCAAAGACCATCTGAAAACACATTTACTCCACGGTTGTAAAGTATCAGCTAAAATAATTTTGTTGTTGAGGGTCGCAACAACACGAGAAAATGTATTAAAGGGTCGTGGCATTAGAAAAGTTGAGAATCACTGGTTTAGCACATGAGGTTCAGCTATCATTTTTTAGCACTAGTCGGGTGCTGAATAATTTTAAAAATCATTTCTGTTGGGTTGGGGGGGGGGCATTATAATGTTAAGTATCCATATGCAGGGCACACCATGTGTGAAAGTGGCGAACATAGTGAGGTGCGAAGGGGCGACCTCCCCGGGAGGAGCTTTTGGTGTTAATTTTTGACATGATATAAATATATAGGATTTTGTTTCTTGTTTGTTGGGGGTTGGGGCGCACTTTAGGGAGTTCGCCTCAGGCGGCATTTAGTCAAGGTACGCCACTGGGGGGTGATGGAACTGACGTATATTATCCGCAGGTCAATGTGTTTTATTTTTTTGAGAGCCAAGAGCAGGGGCGTCATTTCAGGTATTTTCAGGGGGTGGGTGGCAAATACCCAGAGCAAAAGATTCGCTTCTCGATGTCTCAAACAGCAATCAAGTGTGCATACGCAAGGGAAATAATGCAGTCTGGTACGTGAGTGGGGTTGTGTTTCCTTTTTAGCAGTAGTCGTTCCGTGGAAAAAGCTATGCCAACAAAAACCCTAAGCATCAATGTTGATATCGGGTGACACTTAAAGCAGGGGGGTTGTGTGTTGTAGGAACACACGGATGCAACGCATTGGACGTGTGTCTACTGGTGTCTACTGGTGTCTACTAGTGTCTACTAGTGTCTGGTGTAGACTAACAACCCCCCCCCCCAATTCCATTATATACCTTTTTAAAACCATTTGGTTCTTATAGTTCATTTGATAGCAATGTATGTCACATCTAAATTTGAAATTTAAAAAATAATTCCATTATATACCTTTTTAAAACCATTTGGTTCTTATAGTTCATTTGATAGCAATGTATGTCACATCTAAATTTGAAATTTAAAAAAAAAAAATATATATATATATTGTATGATCATTTGAAATTTTAGATTATAAAGATATGTCTGCTGAAGGGGAATACATATAAAATGAAACTTGAACAAACGGTAGCGCACACACCTGGCTCACAATGTTCTTCTCGTTATACAGGGGCTTGTACGTCCACTGTCCTCTAGACTGACACTTGACGTTCGAGCTCAGACCGTCCTCGAAGTAGAGCGTCGCGTTACATTTTGAATGGGTAGCGTTGACCACAATGTCGTTGTTGTATTTGAAATGGGTTGTGTTATTAGAGCTGTTGTAAGGCGCTGCAAAACAAATTGGAAAAAAAATATCTTAAGATGGAAAGTCACCGTAACATGTATAGGTTGTTTTATAACCTTGGTTCCCAGCCTGTGACCCGAAGAGCCCTGGGGGCTCCGCGTGATTTTATCAAGGGCTCCACGGCGGCTCCATGGAACGCCGAAACACCATTAACGCGAAAGAAACAGTTCGGACCCAAGGGGAGCTCCCCATCACAGTTTAGACCTAAGGGGGCTCCCGCCATCACAGTTTAGACCTAAGGGGACTCCCTCCATCACAGTTTAGACCTAAGGGGATTCCCTCCATCACAGCTTAGACCAAAGGGGGCTCCCTCCATCACAGTTTAGTCCTAAGGAGGCTCCCTCTATCACAGTTTAGACCTAAGGGGGCTCCCTCCATCACAGTTTAGTCCTAAGGGGGCTCCCTCCATCACAGTCTAGTCCTAAGGGGGCTCCCTCCATCACAGTTTAGTCCTAAGGGGGCTCCCTCCATCACAGTTTAGTCCTAAGAGGACTCCCTCCATCACAGTTTAGTCCTAAGGGGGCTCCCTCCATCACAGTTTAGACCTAAGGGGCTCCCTCCATCACAGTTTAGTCCTAAAAAAAGGTGGGCTCCCCAATCAGTTTTGTCCTACGGGAGCTCGCCCATCACAGTTTATACCTAAGGGCTCCCCCCTCATCCATTAGAAATTGATTCTAAAAAGTCTCCACGAGGCAACCCACTGGGAATTACTGCTTTATAAGATTCAGTGTTGCTTGAGGTATACACCAACATTTTTTTTAGCATGTAGCATCTTAATTCATCTGTCAGTATGTAACACGCTGAACGAGTTATTTTATCATCGATGGCCCCCAACCCCAACCCCCGCATCGTTCTGCTCTAATCAGCATCTTTTATCCATGAGTTGTCTTCTCTTAGGCCTTTTAATCTCTCACTAATAATATGAACAATGACGACAATTTTTTTTTTCTGATTGCTTTACAGAAGTCGCTTAAACTCTCAAAGTAAATGAGATCCACTGATTCTTGCTTAAACTTATGAGGGAAAGGGGGGGGGGGGTGATGTATAAATACTGTTTATAAAATGAAGGTACAACAAATAGGCCTATTACACTACTGTGCAGATCCATAATGGATTTATTTTTGAACTTGTATGCTATGACGTATTCATTCGGATATTTTTCATCAAATTAAAGAGCTAACCGTGTTATTGGTTTTTAATTAAAGAGAGACAATCTACTACGTTAACTAAACATTTTACTATCTGACACAAGAGTTCAGTTTCTTGGAGTTGCTTTAATAATAATGACGTCAGCCGATTTTGGGGAAGCGGGGTGAAGGAACTGTTTCATGAATGTAAGGTGTATAAAAAGTGCAGCTAAATTAAAATATTGGACTGTTTACTAAGGGAATGACATGGGGTATGGGACGAGGTGAGGGGGTGGGGGCGGACGTACCTGCACAAGATTCAAGACGATAGAAATAAACCAATCGATGTCATCCTAGCATGAACATACGGGGTTTGAACTAGTGGAGTGTGTGTCAGGGGTTTGAGCTAGTGGAGTGTGTGTCAGGGGTTTGAGCTAGTGGAGTGTGTGTCAGGGGTTTGAGCTAGTGGAGTGTGTGTCAGGGGTTTGAACTAGTGGAGTGTGTGTCAGGGGTTTGAACTAGTGGAGTGTGTGTCAGGGGTTTGAACTAGTGGAGTGTGTGTCAGGGGTTTGAGCTAGTGGAGTGTGTGTCAGGGGTTTGAGCTAGTGGAGTGTGTGTCAGGGGTTTGAGCTAGTGGAGTGTGGGTCAGGGGTTTGAGCTAGTGGAGTGTGTGTCAAGGGTTTGAACTAGTGGAGTGCGTCAAGGGTTTGAACTAGTGAAGTGTGCAATGGTTTGAACAAGTGGAGTGTGTCAGGGGGTTGAAAACTAGTGGATTGTGTCAAGGGTTTGAACTAGTGGAGTGTGTCAAAGGTTTGAACTAGTGGAGTGTGTCAATGGTTTGAACTAGTGAAGTGTGCAAGGGTTTGAACAAGTGGAGTGTGTCAGGGGTTTGAAAACTAGTGGAGTGTGTCAAGGGTTTGAACTAGTGGAGTGTGTCAAGGGTTTGAACTAGTGGAGTGTGTCAAAGGTTTGAACCAGTGGAGTGTGTCAAGGTTTTGAACTAGTGGATTGTGTCAAGGTTTTGAACTAGTGGAGTGTGTCAAGATTTTGAACTGCTGGATTGTGTCAAGGGTTTGAACTAGTGGAGTGTGCAAGGGTTTGAACTCGTGGGGTGTGTGTCAGGGCTTTTTAACAACTAGTGGAGTGTGTCAAGGGTTTGAACTAGTGGAGTGTGTCAAGGGTTTGAACAAGTGGAGTTTGTCAGGGGTTTGAACTAGTGGATTGTGTCAGGGGTTTGAACTAGTGGATTGTGCCAGGGGTTTGAACTAGTGGATTGTGTCAGGGGTTTGAACTAGTGGATTGTGCCAGGGGTTTGAACTAGTGGAGTGGGTCAGGGGTTTGAACAAGTGGAGTGTGTCAGGGGTTTGAACAAGTGGAGTGGATCAGGGGTTTGAACTAGTGACTATAGATAGGTTAGGTTTAATCATTTTTTTTTTAATGATTGTTTTTTTTGTGTGTTACATTTGTGTTTTTTTTAAAATGATTTTTTATTTTTTTAATAATTTTATATCGATGACCTCTTATTTCATTTATTTAACTTAAATGGTTGGTACAAAAACAATAACTATTTGCTAAACCTATCCATCGTTATTGTTGGTTAATCAACAAACTTGAGCGGACAAAGGAAGAGTGAGATATTACTTCTGCAATGAATATAGAACCTAACTTTGCCGTTCGATTGAACATACACCAAGCAATGCTAGCACACGTTGTCAGACTTGAACAAGAACTGCACATTTAGTACTTTCGCCCGCCACGAATGGATTCGGTGTGTGGGCCGGGTCTTCTTTACGTGAGTGGAGTGTTCACTACATGGCATTTTGTATAGAAGTCTTGGGAGCAGATGGTGCGATATTGTCGGTGGCGTAATGATGAGGCTGGCGCCCCTGTCCACCGTTGTGTGTGTTACGTAACGATGCTTTACCACTTAGACCAGAGGTTCTCAACCTTCCTAATGCCGCAACCCTTTAATACAGTTCCTCATGCTGTGGTAACCCCCCCCCCCACCACCACCATAAAATTATTTTCTTCGCTACTTCATAAATATGTTTCCCCCGATGGTCTTATTAGGCTCGTTCGACCCCCCAAAGGGGCCGCGACCCACAGGTTGAGAACCGCTGACCTAGAGGCATATGGTTTAATTTAATACATGATAAACGATAAATAGAAACTACGTTTTGTGTGCTATGATAACAACGTAATATAAACGTATTTATTAAATTAGACAAGACTATTTAAATGTATATTAATGAGATCCTCACATGAGCCGATGTCCTGCTCTGGCACGCACGAGTGAGGTACCGGCGTCCCGTGGAAGGCCATGATGACGTGGTGAAAGACCAGCACGACGTACGTGTAGGCCGCGAGCATGTGTATCATGATCTGGAACCTTCCTCGGCCTCCGAGGGCCTCCACCAGGCCCTCGAGACTCTGGCTGCTTGCCGTCATGTTGCTAGTCAAACCTGCTCAAAAAAAAAACAACATGTTTTGTGTCATACATGACAAACTGAGGGCCCCCCCGCCCCCCCCCCCCGAGCGCCGCATGGGTCACATTTTATGTCGTCATGAGTGCCATAGGGCTGACATTTGTGTTGTCATGAGTGCCATATGCGTCATATGTGTGTTGTCAAGGGGCCTACCCACGACAATTAAATGCAGTCATTTGAGAATACGTATTGGAGGATATTTTTACCGACAAAACTTATAAACACACTATGTGGATGCAAATGGTCTCGCCGCCAGCAACATTCGTGAATGCAAAGCAAAGAAGTCGTTGAACTAAAGAGAAGTAGACAAGGAAATTGCCAACGTTAACATAGTCTTGTAAACAACAGCGACAAATGCGATGTACACAAACTGCAACAGTTCAAAATGAACATTTATTTACGACTATTCAATCTTTTTTTAATAATTATTTTTTTTGGGGTATTTTATCCTGAGGCTTAGCACCTCTTTTTGTCCTGAGGATTAGCATCTCTTTTTGTCCTGAGGCTTAGCATCTCTTTTTGTCCTGAGGCTTAGCATCTCTTTTTGTCCTGAGGCTTAGCATCTCTTTTTGTCCTGAGGCTTAGCATCTCTTTTTGTCCTGAGGCTAAGCATCTCTTTTTGTCCTGAGGCTTAGCATCTCTTTTTGTCCTGAGGCTTAGCATCTCTTTTTGTCCTGAGGCTTAGCATCTCTTTTTGTCCTGAGGATTAGCATCTCTTTTTGTCCTGAGGCTTAGCATCTCTTTTTGTCCTGAGGCTTATCACCACTTTTTGTATTGAGGCTTACCACCTCTTTTTGTCCTGAGCCTTAGCACATCTTCTTGTCCTGAAGATTAGCACCTCTTTTTGTCCTAAGCCTTAGCACCTCTTTTTGTCTTGAGGCTTAGTACCTCTTTTTGTCCTGAGGCTTAGCATCTCTTTTTGTCCTGAGGCTTAGCATCTCTTTTTGTCCTGAGGCTTAGCATCTCTTTTTGTCCTGAGGCTTATCATCTCGTTTTGTCCTGAGGCTTAGCATCTCTTTTTGTCCTGAGGCTTAGCAACCTCTTTTTGTCCTGAGGCTCTTTTTAATGACAATTTTTGGTAAGTCTGGCTGAAATGATTTGCATTTCCGACTTTAATCGGAGATGACAAGTGTTGATCAGAGATGACCCGTGTTGATCAGAGATGACCCGTGTTGATCAGAGATGACAAGTGTTGATCAGAGATGACAGGTGTTGATCAGAGATGACACGTGTTGATCAGAGATGACATGTGTTGATCAGAGATGACAAGCGTTGATCAGAGATGAAAAGCGTTGATCAGAGAAGACATGTGTTGATAAGATATGCCAAATGTTGATCAGAGATGACTAGCGTTGGTCCGAGATGACACGTGTTGATCAGAGATGACATGTGTTGATCAGAGATGACAAGCGTTGATCAGAGATGAAAAGCGTTGATCAGAGAAGACATGTGTTGATAAGATATGCCAAATGTTGATCAGAGATGACTAGCGTTGGTCCGAGATGACAAGTGTTGATCAGAGATGACAAGTGTTGATCGGAGATGACAAGTGTTGATCCGTCAGCCTTGAGAAGATATGTTGATCTCATGAAGGAAACTTACCGTTGACACACAAAGGTAGAACCGAACTTTGCCATAATCCTTGATACGAACTTTCTCAAATTTTTAAATTTTTCAGGAAGGTGTGAAAAGCAACCAGGTATCATCCCCACCTCAAAACAGTTTGCTCTGAGAGTACAGGTGTGCTTGCAAAGGGCGCTACGTTAGACATACCTGATTTATAGAAGTTTTTTCTTTATAACTGCTCTATAAACGCTAGATTGCTGCTGTAATGCTGATTGCTGTTAAACTGCTGCTAGACTGCTACTAGCTTGCTGCTAGACTGCTTCTGGATTGCTAATGGGTTGCTGATAGATTAATGTTAGAATGCTGATATATATCTGCTAGGCTGTTGCCAGATAGCTGCTATGTTACCTCTAGGTCGGTGCCGCAAGGGCTACATTTGCTAATGTTAACACATTCACTCAAACACATGCATTAACCTACAGGTAGCCTAATATTTTAAGTGTGCGTGGGCCACAGCGACTCTCCAACCAAAAGTAATGTTTAAATACCGAGTTATGTTAACGGTTCCTTTATAAAATAGGTCAAGACATATTGTGATTCATCAAATGACACACGCACAGAAGTACACTCTATAAGTACACAATTTAATGCATAAGAATACACTTTAATTGATAATACTTGCCTCTGCTGCCGAATTCAAGTGTACGCTTAAAATATATGGCGTTAATATTTTTAGCTAAAGATTTCTCTTGACGGAACTTCGGAAATACCCGGGAATGCCCGAGCAGTACCGAAAACGTTTAATTTATCTTAAAGTTATTCGACAGGCACCTAGACACATACCCAAATATTTACTTAATGTGAAAGAAATGACCTTGTTTTACTTTATTTTTAAGTTTGAGATAACAAAAATATGCAGTAAATAATACTGATATGAGTAGCAAAAACATTCACGTTTTTTGAAAAACTTGGGCCCAGATTTGGATAGAATGAATGAAGTGTGTTCACATTTCTGGTGACAAGATTACGTAGAAGCATATGTAGTCCTAATAGTACGAGTTAATTTAATTATATCGAATGTGAAATATAAACTATGTGCACATCTATTTTTGTGCACATTTATTTTTTCACATTTACCAGTTAATTTTATTTTATTGACGCGTTTGCTAAGTACTTAAATTATTATTATTTTTTTTTTGGCGAAAGCCTTAAGTCCTAGGGTTTTTCTTTTTAGAAGTGCACCTGGTACCCTACACAGCAAATCGCGTCTCTCCACGCCGCTGGATAACCCAAAGGAACATCACATTTGGATGGTACAGCTTGGCATCACATTTGGATGGTACAGCTTGGCATCACATTTGGATGGTATAGCTTGGCATCACATTTGGATGGTATAGCTTGGCATCACATTTGGATGGTACAGCTTGGCATCACATTTGGATGGTATAGCTTGGCATCACATTTGGATGGTACAGCTTGGCATCACATTTGGATGGTACAGCTTGGCATCACATTTGGATGGTACAGCTTGGCATCACATTTGGATGGTACAGCTTGGGATCACATTTGGATGGTACAGCTTGGCATCACATTTGGATGGTACAGCTTGGCATCACATTTGGATGGTACAGCTTGGCATCACATTTGGATGGTACAGCTTGGCATCACATTTGGATGGTATAGCTTGGCATCACATTTGGATGGTACAGCTTGGCACCACATTTGGATGGTACAGCTTGGCATCACATTTGGATGGTACAGCTTGGCATCACATTTGGATGGTACAGCTTGCCACGTTAGGACGTCGGTGCCCACGCCGCCGAAGTTGTCGGAATGTTTCATGGCTTCAATGCTATCCACCTACGGTTTGGGAATTCAGTTCACCCTCTCTTAGCTTTGTGGTTCGGTGGGGATTCAACTCCAGACCACCAACTCTGAGATTGACCCAGTTTAGTAAGCATCAGTCGATGTCCGGGACAGTCATGAATCCGCTGTTCTGTAAATCTTCTGTTTTATATTTTTACTGAGATTTATTTTATTACTTTTTTTGTCTGTTTTTGGCACTTTATGTATCGTGTTTAGAATTTTTATTATTATTTGAATTAGCAATTAGTTTGCTACAAAAACAGTAATGAAAATATTTATTATTATTATTTTTTTAAATTCAGACATTTTCCCAGCTAGTGATTGAGTCTTTCAAAGCCCTACTTTTATGGGTCACCCGCGTCTATGAAGTGATCTCATTGGCTTGACCCACCGCCCCTTCCCAACCCCAGGTCACGCCAAAGATGATCATTCGAGCAAACGGGAACCTCACATGGATTAGGAATGGAAGAATTAAATCACGTGACAGATGCCCCGTAAGACGTCACACTGTCATTGAAGCTCAATTTCATGCATCGGGCGGTGCCCGAATTCAAGTCAACTGTGGTCAGCCATTGAGACTTGTGGGGCTTAAGGGGTCATTCTGATTCATTCGTGGAGGTGGGGGGGGGTTGTGGGGATTTGTGGGGATTTGTGGGGATTTTTTTTTTTGTTTTTGGGGGGGGGGGGGGGGGTTAAGTTATTAAAGTTACCAATTAAAGTGACTTTGGTTTGGTAAATTGTGGAGTGTTGAGGTAGCATGGGGAATGTTGGAGTTACATGTGGCGTATTGGTGTAAAATGTGGAATGTTGGAGATAACATGTAGAGTTTTGGAGTTGTATATCAAAGTCCATTCCCAGGAATGGGAAGTTTAAAAATATTTTAAAATAATTTGGTCTCTTTGACTCCTCGTAGTACCTACCATAGTGGGACGTTAGTGCCTGCCATAGTGGGAAGTTAGTGTCTTCCATAGTGGGACGTTAGTGTCTTCCATAGTGGGACGTTAGTGTCTTCCATAGTGGGACGTTAGTGTCTTCCATAGTGGGACGTTAGTGCCTACCATAGTGAGACGTTAGTGCCTTCCATAGTGGGACGTTAGTGTCTTCCATAGTGGGACGTTAGTGTCTTCCATAGTGGGACGTTAGTGCCTTCCATAGTGGGACGTTAGTGCCTACCATAGTGAGACGCTTGTGCCTTCCATAGTGGGACGTTAGTGCCTTCCATTGTGGGACGTTAGTGCCTACCAAAGTGGGATTTTAGTGCCTTCCATAGTGGGACGTTAGTGCCTACCAAAGTGGGATGTTAGTGCCTTCCATAGTAGGACGTTAGTGCTTTCATTTTCCGACACCTTGTCAACATTCATAGCTATTTGTAGGGCTCCTTAAAAATTCAATTATTTTAATCCTTTTTAAAACATCCAATCCTGAAATTCGAGAACCACTCCACGCATCGAATGACGTGTTGTGTTGTGTTGTTGTTTTCAAGTTTTAATGAGACGTTTTGGTAATGAGAACACAACAATGAGCTCAAAACAAAGAGCAATTACTGGCCCAGGGCTTGTGCCACTTATCAAAGCACCCGGGGGGGGTGGGGGGTGGGGGTGGGGGTGTTTAGTTCGTCCCGTTACTCTGGGTTCAAAAGATTTATGTCCAGAGTCCTGTGGAGCAAAGCTTCGTATTACATGGATTGTAATGTAATGGGTCACCACAGGGGGTCTCAATACCGGGACCCTTTAAATCAGCTATTCCCGTGCTGTGCTTAAGCGGAGCCCTAAGTGCTCCACCTGCCCTTTGTAGGGGCTCCGTGGCAGATCCAGTAAACTCCTTAACACTACTAAAACGTGTAAGCCTTAAGTGTCTTAAAGGGACTCCCCCCCCCCCCCCCCATTAAAATTTTTT